GGTCTCCTGCTTGAGCAGAGGGTTAGACTAGAAGAACTCCAAGGTCCCTCCTAGCTCTATTCTGATTGGTTGGTTGGTTGGTTGGTTGATTGAGAGAGAGAGAGAAAGAGAGAGAGAGAGTCAAACCAAGAGGGTGGTTGGGACTGCTCATTGAAGCCTTTTAAAGGGGGGGGCAGGTCTTCAGTGGGGTAGTTGCTTCTGCCATCTTGATTCATTTGGGCCCCTTTGACAATTCTTGAACCCAAGAGTGGGTTGCTCTTAGGTATGCTACCTTGTCGATGAGGCTATATATTTTCATGTTGTCATGATTAAGTTTTCTTGATACCCAGCACCATTTTACATCATTTTAAATGTATCTATTCATCAGGGGGATTTTTCATCTGACTGGGAAAAAGAGTTTATTTTTATAGATGATCCTGCAGTCTCTTGGAATAATCATAAGTTCAAGGTAAAGTTGTTAATTATTCAATGGCTGTAGCAGAGCGTTCACACTGAATTCCCATGTGCTAAAAGTTTCAGAAGAAACTAGAAATTCAAATAAGACATTCCAGAATGCTAAAAAAAACAAAAACAAAAGGCAAACAGGTACACATTCTCTTGTCTTGTGTTATGGGCTCCTTGCCACTTTCCTTTGTGACCAGAGGCAAACTCGCCTGACCAATAACCAGCCAGGACACAGTGAACACTTCCATGCTTTGTTTATTGCAACAAACAGAAGCTATCGAAACTTGGTTCTCTCCAAAGTTCCAACTCAAACTATTCCTTTCTTTATACAACCCTGTCTCAAGCCACCACATCCCTCTTCGTTCCCATTGGCTCAGGTACTATGACAATGGTGACATCTCTAACGTTCGAAACATCATCAGAGAAAATCAAGCATCAACCATCTTCCCTGAAGAAATACTTGATATTTCCCATGTTGGTCCTGAGCTTAAAAACAAAAACGGCTTGATGATCCCACACCTCTGCAGGGTTGTTTGCAAAAACGAAACAAGCAAACGCAAATTCATTTTCTCAATAAATTCACTCGCAAAGAGCAACAATAACCATAAGAACCTTCATTCTCGCCCTGATCTAACCTTACAACAATGTGTACGATCCCGGGAGCTACGTTCTGAGCTCAAAAGATTACATGAATTAGGTAATACAAATCTATACATTGATTGCCATGCTGATTGTATCAAAAGCAAGAGCCACAACCCACGTTACATATCCATCACCCAAATATCCAATGTTAGGGATGCACGCCCCTTACTTCCTCCAGACCCACTATTTCATATCTTAAATGCAGACTACTTAATGCCAGAAGCCTTGTGAATAAGCTCTTCTGAGCTCAGCCACATTTGACATTATATTTGTCTGCGAGACATGGTTAAATGCATCTTTCCCAGACTCCATTACCACTACAAGAGAACATCAAGTTTTTCAGTCAGATCGTGAAATCCACAGAGGTGATGCAGTTGCTATATTCTATAAGAAGTCTCTAAATCTAAAAAAGATCCAAATTATACAAGAGCTTGCTCTTCCTGAGACCATCAACTGTGAACTGTCCTTAAATACCTCAATCCGCTTCTTACTTTGCTATTGAGCCCTTGACTATGATATAATTCATGCAAACAAGCTAACTTCACTATTGACATGGACTGCCTCCTGCCCACACCCTCTCATTTTTCTTGGTGAATTTAACTTACCTCTTATAAATTGGACACTACATGAATGTACATCTGAACCCATTCATACAACCCTGTACAATGCCATTAATACACTAGGACTGGAACAACTAGTAACCAACAATACTAGACTTAACAACTGCCTCTATCTCATCTTCTGCAATAGTTTGAATTCAATTTATGGAATACAAATTAATGAACTCTTTTCCAAGAATGACCACAACATGACTGACTTTTGTCTCAACGTATGTCCACACTAAAATCATCATAACGACAAGATCCCCAATTATAACTTCAAAAAAGGCAACTATGATCTCTCATAACAATCTCTCATCTCTTGTTTGGCAATTTCTATTCACTGGGTGCAATACTGTTGAAGACTATTACAACATATTTTTACTTGAAGTCAAAAGAGTCATCAAACTATATGCATCAATAACAACTCCCAAAACCAGAAAAAACAAATTACCCATAACAATAAGGAAGCTTCAATCCAAAAAGAGATCACCTTGGAAGAAAAACAAATCTGGTCACATTGCCAGCTTCAAAAGCCAATACAAAAATTGATGCCACCAAATAAAGACTGAATGCATCAATTATCACATTAAACAATAATGTGATAATTCCACCCGTGCTTTCTACAATTTTGCAAACAACAAACTAAAAGACTCAAGGTCCATCCCACTCCTGAGAGGACCTAATGGAAAAGACTGCAATGATGACACTATTAAAGCCAACCTCTTTAACACATTCTTTGGCTTAGTATTTGTAAACAGCAATGAATCATGCCCAGTATTTCCTAGTTGAACCACAGGCAACTACAATGATCTAATACATATCGATTTTACAGAAGACAATGTTGAAAAAGCACTACGCAATCTAAAACCATCTCTATACATTTGGACCAGACGGAATATGTACCTACTTCTTAAAAAAGCTATCCACTGCCATAGCTGAACCTCTAAGCATAATCTTTGAAAAATCTTTCAGGACCTTGCCAAACCAATGGTCACTAGCCATGGTCATTCCCATCTTCAAAAAGCCCAGCCTAGTTGAAAATTACAGACCAATCTCTTTATGCTGCATCACCTGTAAAGTCATGGAATCAATTATTAACCAATCCATCATCCTCCACTTAGAGACAAACAACCTACTCTCTAATAAACAATTTGTTTTCAGAAAAAAACTATCCTGTAATCTGCAACTCTTACCCTGCAAAAACATATGGACTACACAACTCGGTCAGGGTAAAGCAATAGACGCAATTTACATAGACTTCTGTAAAGCCTTTGAGTCAGTGGTATATGACAAACTATTCCTAAAACTAAAATCTTATGGTATCTCTGGATACCTGTGTAACTGGATAGAAGCATTCCTGTCAAACAGACAACAAATGGTCAAAATTGGGAGCGTCCTATCAAATTCTGTACCTGTCAACAGTGGTGTCCCCCAAGGCAGTGTTTTAGGACCAACTCTTTTCATACTCTACATAAATGACCTCTGTGATCATATCAAGAGCAACTGCGTTCTCTTTGCAGATGACGTAAAGCTATTCAACACCACAGACAATACTGCTACCCTTCAAAAAGATCTTGACTATGTATCAGAATGGTCAAACAAATGGCAACTTCAAATCTCAACAAATAAATGATCTGTCTTACAGATTGGCAAAAAAAAATATCAGAAAATAAAATACAAGCTGAATAGTCAAGACCTTGTTGATGATCCAAACTCTGTCAAGAACCTTGGAGTGAGTACTCATCTCTAATGATCTAAGTGCTAGAGCCCACTGTAACCACACAGCCAAAAAGGCATTAAGAGTTGTAAACCTAATCCTGCATAGCTTTTTCTCTGGTAATATCACACTAATAACTAGAGCATACAAAACATTTGCTAGACCAATACTCAAATACAGCTCATCAGTCTGGAACCCACATTACGTATCTGATATTAGCACAGTTGAGAAAGTCCCGAAATATTTCACAAGAAGAGTTCTCCACTCCTCTACTCATTGCAGAATACCTTATTCCACCAGACTTGAAATTCTAGATCTAGAAAACCTAGAACTATGCCCCCTTTGGTCTGATCTAAGTATAGTACATAAAGTTATATATTGTAATGTCCTACCTGTCAATGAATACTTCAGCCTCAACCATAACAAGACAAGAGCACACAATAGATACAAACTTATGGTAAACTGCATTAAACTTGATTGCAGGAAATACGACTTCAGCAACAGAGTGGTCAATGTCTGGAATACTCTACCTGACTCTGTGGTTTCTTCCCCAAACCCCAAAATTTTTAACCTTAGACTCTACTATTGACCTCACCCCTTTCCTAAGAGGTATGTAGGGGGCGTGCATAAGCACACCAACGTGCCTACTGTCCCTGTCCTATTGTCTCTTTTTATTTTTCTTATATGTATCCATTGCATGTATTCATAACTATGTTTATACTTATACCTGTTATCTTATAATTGCTTGACAAAATAATATAAATTAAATAAATAAAATAAATAAAATAAATAAAATAAATAAAATAAATAAAATAAATAAAATAAAATAAATAAACAAACTATGAGGCAGTGGTGGGATTCAATTTTTTTTACTACCGTTTGTGGGCGTGGCTTGATGGGTGTGTCAGGGGAAGGATACTGTAAAATCTCCAGTCAGAGCTGGTATTTGCCGGTTCTCCAAACCAGCGGTCGCCAACCAGTGGTCTGTGAGAAAATTTTGGTGGTCTGCAGAGAAATGTCATCCCTCAAGCATCCCCCAAACAATCCAGGCTGCGGAGGAACACACGGCTGCACCGCCCACATGGTCCACAGGAACACAATGCTTGCGTCGCTTGCATTGTGAACAACATGAGGTAGTGAGGGGAGGGGGGAAAGGGCGGGGGGGGAACTTGCCCCACTCAACCCACACACCTGGCCTGGCCACTGGGCTGCTTCTTCTCTCCACTTCTTTCTTCTTCTGCTTTTGGCTGCACACAAGGAAAGCAGCAAAAGTCTTTTTCTCTCCCCCAAACTCTGCCAGAAATGAGTTTTTGGGACCCTGCAAGGCATCCTGTTCCAAGAGGCTGTGCCAGCACAACAAATCTCACAAAGGCTCATTTCTGGCGGAATTTGTGGGAGAGAAAGAAAGACTTCTGCTTCTGCTGCTTTCCTTGCATGAAGCCAAAAATCTCTCTCTCTGTCTCCCCCTGAGAATGGAGCTGAGTTGGTATCCTGCAATCCCAAATAAAGAATGATTGATCGGTAGGAAAACAGGGTTGGGAATTTTCCTGCAGACTTTTGGGGGGATTTTCCCAGGGTCTCTGATCCACAGGATTTAAAGTTATGAGTTTGGTGGTCCCTGAGGTCCAAAAGATTGGCGACCCCTGTACTGAATCACACAACACATGTACATTTAAATTAGCAGACAATATATGCGAGGTGTGTCAAGTAATATTCATTAGTCTATTGAGCATGCTCTTTTAGTTTGTTTTGAGTTCTTGGGTATTTTATGGCTTCTTAGCCAAGGCAACTTGTTCCATCCTGAATCAGCCGTTCTGAGTCGGCTGTGCCGGGTGAGTGGCGTTGCACCGGCCATACCCACCCTTCTGATCTTCAGAAATGAGTAAAAGTTTTGACTCTAAACTTGGGATGAGCTGTGTTAAAGCTGTTCTTGCAGTTGAAAAATTTAAGAACGACATGTCTGATTTTCACCGTATTCTTTCACTGGTGTGTATATTTTAGCTACACGGGTTGCAAAACAATGTGCGATGCCCTGCGGCCCTCAAATGGAAAAAGGAAAGATTAAATCAAACATTTAATCTTTCTTCTCATGCCACCGTGGCTCTTTTATGTCAAAAGCTGGGGACATAATTGGAAACGGAAGCTCTATCTGCAGTTCCAAAAAGAAGAGGGATACCTTCCGGCTACAGATGAAAGCTTGGCTTTATGCTGATGGAAAAGTTTGGGACCCCTCCCACACAGGGATAGACAGCCTACAACTTTCACACTCCAGCTGGCCCAACAAAAACTGTATCTCCTTTTATTACTTTCATTCAGTTGGATAGAAAAAAGAATTTATTTTTCAAATTTCCACCAACCACAAAAGTTTGGCTGAAATTTCCCTGAGCGGAGTGCAGTTCTCTCACATTGAATTCAGATTATCAGATATAACAGTTCCTCATGTATTCTTACTAGGAACTTATTAGATAAACCCAGACATTTTGTCAGGTGGAAGTCAAACAAAAATGTGCATCTTTCTTTTGTTCTTATCCTCATTAAGGGAAAAATTGTCATTAGGCAGATCTATTTAGAGCTGGCAGAGAAATGTGTTTTGACTTTGATTACGGCAATTAAAACCTTGGCTATTTAAATTCAGTGTGTGTTATTACTTAAATAACAATTTCACTCCTGGAACACATTTTGCTAAGGAAGGCTGTTAAATTAGGTGATAAAAGGTTACTTTTGTCTTTGAAGTTGAAATATGTAAGCATTATTCTTATCTGTCTGAAATTTGAAAGGCTGCCATATCATATATTTTAGAGGCCTCATTATCAAATTTCTCCAGACTTCATAAAACAAACACATACTTCACTTCTTGTCCTGTTTAATTCTAGCATAGCAATTTATTTTGGTTTTCAGGAAGAGGGAAGAAAGAAGAGGGTTTTTTAATGTTTGACAGGAGAATATACCTTTTCATTTGAAATGGCTCAAAGTGTAGCCTGAAAACGATCACGACGCTGCTCTCCTTTCACAAGCAACCAGGAGAGTCACCGGACAGATTTATTTATTGGTCACATTTAGATGGCTGCCCGTCTTAGGAAAGGGACTCTGGGCAGCATATAGCAAACCAATAAAGCAATAAATATAAATAGTTAGCTAAACCCATCATTAATTCTTATTGCAACATTAAAAACTATAAAAGCAGAACTGAATAAGAACAGAAAACAGCTAATAATAAGGGGGCCGGTGGTGGTATTCTACTGGTTCGGCCGAGCCGGCAGCGCCAATGAGCAGCGGAGATCGAAACCGGTTCTCTCCAATGCTCTGCTGTTGAGAGGACATTGTACCTGTGAGCAAACATTCCTTTTAAAAAAACCATAGGGGGAGGTTGGTGTTGTTGTTTAAAAGGCAGGATAGAGATTAAGAGCTAAGAAAGAACAAGTCCCAGAAAAGTCAAATCTTAAAGAGAAATGGGATTTTGACATTCTTCCACTTGGTTTTTATTAACGCTAAGGGAAAAAAGATAACAGAAGCTGTGAGGGGTGGTGGTGGTTGTCATAGAGTAAGAAATAACTATGTAATCACGCTTACATTTGCTGCTGAGGAAATCAGAACCTTCTTTTTATCTTCATTTTTTTCTGCACTTTTGCTTTCTCTTCCTTTTTCTCTCAATTGCTTTATTTTCTTTCTTCTGCATTGGTCTGTGTTAGCTTTTATGTTCTTTTTAAATCATACACGTATGTATACAGTATATATCTGAGAAGAGAAGCCATTCTTGATCAGTTAGTAACTAGGAGGAAGAATGAAGTGGATGAAATGCCAAAAGAATCTGAGTATAATATACACCGCAGGCTGTTCAACTGATTTGACTGCCAGTTTCTCCGCTCTTGTGATGGCTTTTCATTTCCATTTCAACTCAAAAGGTTTCTGGAAGACGAGACCTTGGGAAAGAAGAGAAGGCAGGAAGGGGATCAGCGCTGAGAACCAGCCCAATGAATGCTCTACTGTCCCATCTGAGGACACCTCAACTAGTTCGATTCCAGAAACCGCCCCAAGGTTTCTTAGGATCCTGGGAAATCATTCTGTGTTCCACAAAAGTAAAAATGATGTCTGACTCTGAATGGCATTTGCCTGGTTTAACCCTAAGTCTAACCAAAATCTGTTTCAGCCCATTGGTCTGGTCCTGTCTTCTGGGGCAACCGAAACAAGTCTCCCCTCTCCTCTATACCAGTGGTGGGATTCACATTTTTTTACTACCAGTTCCATGGGCGTGGCTTGGTGGGCGTGGCAAGGGAAGGATATACCGCAAAATCCCCCTTCCCTTCCCTCCCCACCCCACTAACCTGCTTTCCAGCTCTGTTCTCCAGTGCAGGGCAACCAAAGAAAGCCCAGCTAATCAGCTGGGACACAATGGGAGGAAGAGAAGAGATGGAGTTGGTGGGGCCAGTCAGAGGTGGGATTTTCCGGTTCTCGAACGACTCAAAATTTCCGCTACCAGTTCTCCAGAACTGGTCAGAACCTGCTGAATACCAGACTCTATACCCTTTAGAGATCTGAACATTATTATTGTATCTTCCACCAGTTGTGCTTTCCTGCAAGGTAGACATTCCCAGTTCCTTTAATTGATCCTCGTAGGACCTGGCTCCAGGTTATCCCTCTTTATGCTCTCAGTGTGCTTAGGAAAAGGTGATGCAAGTGGGGATTGCCCGGGCAGAGGAGAGGAGACCAATTGTCAACGCATAAAATGTATTTATGGTCTTTTTAGAGTTTCCATCAGAAAGGGAAGAGGGAGCAGTGCAACAGCTTGCAAACCGAAACTGCATTCCATAAATGTTTTCAGAGATAGTAACTAGGTGACCGAAGTTTCTGCCATGCAAAATTCTAACTGGAGAGCATGATGGATGACTCTTGACTATGGAGGTGTCCCATTGGAGAATATGAATTATGATACACCCAGGGAGACGGGGGAAAACCAGGGTCATGGGTGACAATGAATGATGTGCCTCAGATTTCAGCTACACCCAGGCAGTGCTGGACATTTTAACTTCCAATAAATCCATTTGAAGTTTTGGAAGTTTGGCTCAAGACACATGATTTAAGTGCCGGAATCCTGACACCAATTATTTTCCAGACTTGCAACTCCCTTTATACAAAGTTCAGCTGTTGTGCAATAGATGTACTTGTTTTTTAGATGTATAATTCCAGCTTACATTAAAATACTAAAGAAAGCTAACAAAAGTTGCATGAATGAAATCTACAAAATCAATACAGTGCAGTAGACCTGGTGGTTGGCCAAACCTAAGAGGGGCTATTTTCATTATTGCTATTGATTTTCCCCAAAATATGAAAATGAATTGGTGAGGCAACAGAAGCCTCTTCCAGCTGAAGATCAAATGATTCAGGTAGAAAGTAAAGGATGCTCACTGTATAGCAGTCAGGGTTTATTTGCCCAATGGAATTTCACCAGTTTCCTAAATTTTTGCAGAATCCTCCCAAATCTTTCAAGGCTTCACTGAGATTTCATAGGATTTTAGCATTCACATATGTGATCGGGTAAGATTTCAACATTCTCATGTGGGAATAAGTAGAGTCACTGTAGAAGTGAGGTGGCATAAAATTGGGTAAATAAATAAAAATAAAATGCATAAAATTCTTGAGGAATTGTGCAAAGCTCCTGAGATTTCATCCATAATTTTCACAATCCCTGAAGAGTTTACTTGTTATTAACATTTTTTATTAGATGTTTTAGAGAAAATACACAAACAGGAAAGGAAAAATAACAAAAAAAACAGATAAAAGAGTAAGATATGAAATAAAACAAGGGATTACAAATGTCATAGAGATAATTTCCAGTTATAACTGCTTGTGAATTAAATGACTATGTTTTAATATTTGAGAGAACCAAGTTGATGTACTGGCTAAGGCATCAGCATAGAAATTGGGAGACCATGAGTTCCAATTCTGCCATAGATACAAAGCTGGTCTTGAGCCAGTCACTCTCTTTCAGCCCTAGGAAGGAGGCAATGGAAACAACTTCCAAAATCATGCCAAGAAAACTGAAAAGCCGTGTCCAAACAGGAGTCAAGACTGACTTGAAAGTTCCAATATAATTTTAAAAATATGAACTTTATGTATGTTTTATTCTTGATACAACTGTTGATACAGTTCTTTAGAGGAATTATTGAATCTGTCATTTATACTTCTAAAATAATGACACGTGGTGGCGCAGTGGCTAGAGTGCAGTACTGCAGGCTACTTCTGCTGCCTGCCGGTTGCCTGCAATTTGGCAGGTTGAATCTTACCAGGCTCCAGGTTGACTCAGCCTTCCGTCCTTCTGAGGTGGGTAAAATGAGGACCCAGATTGTTGGGGGCAAGAGGCTGACCCTGTAAACCATTTAGAGAGGGCTAGAATGCACTGTAAAGTGGTATATAAGTCTAAGTGTTATTGCTATTGCTATATGTGCCTGTTCATTACAGGCTCAAGGCTCAAAATCTGGATGGAACTTGACAGACTTGAACTTATCTAACAATATGAAATTCAGTGGTGAGAAAAGTAAGGTTTTTACACTTAGACAAGAAAAACCAAGTGTAAAGATACTGGTTAGGTGAAAATTGGCTTAATGGCAG